GCGCGCACACACACACACACACACACACACACACACACACGGCCCTTCCTCACATCCCTAACATGCCCCTTAAGATCCTCAGTCATCGGCCTACCTTGCGGTTAAAGCAACAGGAGCCTTTGTGACGTCTGCAGAGACGGTCCTGACATCCAAATGGGGCCAGTTTGGTTCTAACAGCATAAAAACGTTTCGAAATATATTTTTTTATTCTTTCTTTATTTAAAGTTTTTATTTTAATCGCGGTTAGCTAAGTAATCCAGGGTAAGATTAGTTTCAGGTGGACAATAGAGTGATTCGACACTTCCATCCGTCACCCGGTGCTCCTCACAGGTGCCCTCCTTCACCCCCGTCCCGTTTCACCCATCTCCCCACCTCTCCTCTGTAACCACCCGCGTGTTCTCTGTAGTTGAGTCTGTTTCTTGGTTTTTGTCTCTCTCTCTCTTTTGTTTGCTCCTTGGTTTTGTTTCTTAAATTCCACATAAATCGTATGGTATTGTCTTTCCATGAATATTTCACCTACTGTCATACTTTCTAGCTCCATCCACGTCATTGCAAATGGCAAGACGTCATTCTTTTTGATGCTGAGTAATACTCCACTCTGTGTGTGTGTGTGTGTGTGTGTGTGTGTGTGTGTAAACCACATCTTCTTTATCCGTTTCATCAGTCGATGGACACTTGGGCTGTTTCCATAATTTGGCTACAGTTGATAGTGCCGCTGTAAACATCTGGGTGCGTGTATCCGTTCTGATCTGTGTTTTTGTATTCTTTGGGTAAATACCTACCAGTGCAATTGCTGGGTTGTAGGATAGTTCTATCTGTAACTTTCTGAGGACCCTCCATACTGCTCTCCAGAGTGGCTGCACCAGTTTGCATTCCCACCAGCAGGGCAAGAGGGTTCCCTTTCTTCACATGCTTGTCAACACTTGCCATTTTTGAGTTTTTGATTTCAGCCATTCTGACGGTGTGAGGCGGCATCCCATCGTGGTTTTGATTGGCGTTTCCCTGTTGAGGAGTGACGGCGAGCGTCTTTCCGTGTGTCTTTTGGCCATCTGGATGTCTGCTTTGGGAAAACATCTATTCGTGTTTTCTGCCCATTTTTCGACTGGGTTTTTGTATTTCGGGTACTGAGTTGCATCAGTTCTTTACATATGTTGGATACTAACCCTCTGTCTGAGATGTCGTTTGCGGAAGTCTCCTCCCACTCCGTAGGCTGCCTTTTACTTTTGTTGACTGTTTCCTCCACTGCGCGGAAGCTTTTTATCTTGATGAGGTCCCAGTAGTTCGTTTTTGCTTTGGTTTCCCTGGCCTCCGGAGACGTGTTGAGTAAGAAGTTGCTACGGCTGAGGCCAGAGAGGTTACAGCCTGCTTTCTCCTCGAGGTGTTCGAGGGCTTCCTGTTTTATGTTTAGGTCTTTCATCCATTTTGAGTTTATATTTGTGTACGGTGTTGGGACGTGGTCTAGTCTCATCCTTCCGCATGCTGGCCAAGCCGCGTGCTAGAGAAGGGACGGTGGTTGACTCTCGGGTCGGGAATGTGTGTGGTCAGAGGAGCTGACATCGAGATGTCCTGAAACAGGGCCGGTGACAAGGGCTCTGATGGGTGTGTGTGGATGGCTGGGAAGGGCGAGCGGGTCCTTCTGTAGGGTACACCCCTGTACTCAGACTGTGACCGCAGAATCCGGCTCAAAGGATGCCGACACTCGTGATTTGCCCTCAGGTGGATTACGAGGCAACGGAGCCCTCGTTCAAGGCCACCCTGGAGGACACAACTCTGGAGCAGGCCGTCGGACTTCTCCAGAGGGTGAACGGCTTCTGCTGCCTGTCTGTGAAGGTCAACGTGGAGGGTACACACTCCCCCACACCACCCACCCCGTGAGGCCACCACTGGAGGCTTGTGCCACTGAGTCCCGTGTCCGTGAGCCCCTGGCTGCACCGAGGCCAAGCCCTCCCGCCCACCCCAGGACCATACTGTGCCCCAAGTCTGCAGACGACCCCAGGGCGGCTGGGGATCTTCCACCCACGGACTCCAGCACCGAGATGGCTCCTAAGACTCTGGGGGGGCGGGGGTCCTTCCTTCTCCCTTCCTCTCACATTCCAGACCCTTCCTCGTTGTGGGATCACAGCCCAGGCTTATCTTTGATCAGGTTATAAGAAGTTGGTCCAGGACCTGGAGGCCAAAGTGGCTACCTCGGGGGACTCCTTCTATATCCGGGTCAACCTGGCCCTGGAGGCGAGGGCGGTGGGGGAGCTTCAGGTGCAATGCAACGACATCCTGCATGTCACCGACACCATGTTCCGGGGCCGCGGCTGCTGGCACGCCCACCGCGTGGGCCCCTATAGCACGAAGGGCACCGAGAGGGGCAGCATCCCCAACTATGCACGGTGAGCATCTGTCCTACACCCCAACACCTCCCCGGGTTGGGCCAGGGCGCTGCCAGGGTCGCCTGGCCTGGCTTCTCGTGGACGAACCCCCCCTGCCAGCGAGGAAGAGTGGTCTCCCCAGGCTTCCCTCCACTGCCCAGGAGCAGAGGGTAGGCATGATGAGATGTGCCCCCAAGTGGATGGAACCCCCAATGTGCCACCTCAGTTTTACTGCTTACATGAGGTTTCTTGGTGAGAAGGGATGGCCTTCATCCTAGAGCATTCTAGAGCACTGAGGACCAGCATGACACTGGGGCTGGCTCACTCTGTCACGGGGGGCTGCCTGGGCACAGCAGGATGTCAGTGGTCCTTCTGCCCCCTAGTTGTGACAATGAAAAATGTCTTCTCCAGACATGGCCCAGTGTCTCCTGGTATGTCTGGGACTTGTTGGTTTGAGCACAGAAGTCCCGCGTCCTGGGACAGCTGGACAGGGGGTGGCCTCCCTGGGAGCAACGACACGCCTGCGGAGAACCGTGTTCTGGACCGAGCGTGGTCCACGAAGCGTGGGCGTCGGCCGTACCTGGCTGTCGAGGTTCTGGAACGTGGCCCAGACCCAGGCTCACACCGAGTCACCTGGGCTCCGACTCACAACAGTTCAAGTGGCAGCTGCAGGGGCGGGCCGGGGCTTTGCACTTTTTCGAAAGCCCCAGCGGACCATAGTGGCCACCAGAGTGGAGAGCGGCTGCCTGGGGCCACAGGGGTGCTCTTGGGGTGCTGGGCAGGGGCCCCCTCTCGTCAAGCCCTCCTTGCCACTGGGTCAGGGCTGTGCTCTTCTGCACAGGGCTCAGCAGCTGCTCATCGCTCTGATCCAGCGGAGCACCATCGCCCGCAAGGTGAGGCGGGGAGAGCCGCACCCGGACCCCGGACATGGGCGCCTGCTATGGGGGCCCTGCCTCCCCCCTCCCCGGCCCTCCTCCTCCCGGCTCACAGCACCTGGAGGGCCCTGGCCCCATCTGGGGTGGGCTGGAAGGGGGGCAGGTGCTGGCCTGCTGACCCCATGGGTGCGACCCCTGGCATGTCTCTCCCTGGGGGGCCCTCCGGCCGTCACCTGGGTCTGCACCCTACACCCAGCCCGCAAGCTTCTCTAATGCGTGCAGGTGCCCTCTCTGTCATGCCCCCAGTTCATCCCATTTGCCCGTCCCCACCCCATCCCATTCCCTCTGAGGTCCTGACACAGAGCCCTCAGCTGTCCCGGGATTGGGGCAGGGCCGGGCTGTGGGGCCCCTCCCCTCCTCTCCCCTCCCCTCCCCTCCCGCCTCACTCTGGATGCCCTGCCTGAGGACCCTCTCCTGCCTCCCTTCATCTCCCACCCTCCGGTGTGGGGCCTGCGCCACCTGGCTGTTCGGCGGGCACAGCCTGGTGGGCCGGGGACCAGCCTGGGTTTGGCCGTGTGCAGACGGCTTGGACACCTGCTCGTCCCTCTGCTCCCCTCCAGCAGTCTTCTGGGGGAGCCCAGAAGCTGGTCCGCATCGTCAGCGTGGACAGAACCAAGGCCAGCCCTGTGTGCTCGTCCTCTGAGGGGGCCCTGTCGGAGCGCAGCAAGCCAGAAGGTGAGGCGGCCGGAGCGGGCCGAGGGTCCCTTGATAGCCCCCTCATGCCAGGCATGGGTGGGAGGTCATAAGAGAGGTCAGCACGGCACATCCCCCGACCCCGTCAAACCGTGTAGACGAAGACAGTAGAAGTGGATCGTCTTGAGTTAGTCGTCCTCTTTTTGGAAAGTGTTTTGGGTGCGTAACATGACTGCTGAAGACAGAAGGACAACCTGGAAGGCCAGGGTTCCGGAGGGAGGGAAGGCCTGGTGCTGTGGGTCCAGCAAGGGCGGGGACCCCGGGGCCAGGGGTCAGGCTGACCGTGGGGACGGCAGGGAACTGCGTTTCTCCATCCTGCGGTGGGCCTGTGGAGCGGCGCCTGGAGAGACCGGAGCCCCGGATCAAAGGGTGCAAGGAGCCGCCGAGCAGGGCGTGTGGGAGGTGGGTGTCACCGGTGGGAGCCGAGCGTGGGCCTGTGTCCCAGCAGGAACCCCGGGCTGTGCAGACACGGACGGACTCGGTGCGTCCTGGGCCGTGGGGGCTGGTGAGCAGCCCAGCCTGGAGCCTCACGCCTCCTCTCCCCCACAGAGCCCTCCACCACATGCTTCTGGGCCGAGACCTGCTTCACCCTGGTGCCCTACAGCCTGGTGCGTCCCCACAGGCCCAGCCGGCCCCGGCCCGTGCTCTTCGTGCCCAGGGTGGTCGGCAGGATCCTGAGCGAGAAGCTGTGTCTCCTCCAGGGGTTTAAGAAGTGCCCAGCAGGTACGCTGTCGCCTGGGAGCCCCGCCTGTCAGGTGGCAGAGCGAGCCCTTGGCAGAATGCTTGTCTTCTTCTCTGGAGGCCCTGGGGCTGCTGTGACAAGGGACCACAGATTGGGCCACTCCGCACAGCAGGGATTTATTCTCCCGGGGTGATGCAGTCCAGAAGGCGGAGATCCAGTGTCTCCGGGCTGCCCCCCGCCCGGAGGCTCCAAGGGGTGGGGTTCTCCTTTCCTTTCCTGGCTTCCGGGGTGCCCGCAGTCCTGGGGGTCCCGGCTTGTGGCTGTGTCACTGCGCTTTCTGCCTCCTTGTCCTGTGACCTCCCCTCTCCATGTCTGTCTTTGGTCCTTTTTTTTTTTAGTGTATTATTTGTTTATTTATATATTTATTTAATTATTTAGAGAGCATGTGAGCAGGGGTGGGGGGTGCAGAGAGAGAAAGAGAGAGAGAGAAAAGAGAGAGGGAGAGAGAGAGAGAGGGAGGGAGAGAGAGAGAGAATCCCAAGCAGGCTCCTGGCTGTCAGCGCAGAGCCCAACGTGGGGCTCTAATGAACGGTGAGATCATGACCTGAGCCAAAACCAAGAGTCGATGCTTAACCAACTGAGCAACCCAGGTGCCCCTCACAGTCTTCTTATAAGGAACCAATCTCGAGGTGCCTGGGGGGCTCAGTCGGTTCGGCGTCCGACTTCAGCTCAGGTCACGATCTCACAGCTTGTGAGTTCGAGCCCCGTGCCGGGCTCTGTGCCGACAGCTCGGAGCCTGGAGCCTGCTTCGGATTCTGTCTGCCTCTAACCCCCTCGCATTCTGTCTCTGTCTCAAAAATAAAACATTAAAAAAAAAATTTAAAGGAACCAATCTTTAGGGCCGTCTTCTTCCAGGATGACCTCATCGTAACTAATCACATCTGCAAAGACCCTATTTCCAAATAAAGTCACAGCCCGAGGTTCCAGGTGCTCACGCATTTAGGGGGGATGCTGTTCGATCCAGCGCCGTCGCTGCTCGCAGATAGGGTTGTACGGAACCGGGGCGGGACCAGCGGAGGGCTCCACCCGCCTGCTCACCTCCAGAGCTGCTCGGTGGAGGGTCCCCGAGAGACCCCGGACATCTGGACTGCCAGATCCCAGGGGACAGGGTCTGAGCGTCTGCACCGCAGAAAAGAAGGTTGCGACGGTTGGAGAGCGGGACGCGGGCTTTGTGGGAGTTTTCGTTCATCTGCTCGCTGCTGGCTGATGGCTGCGGGAGGCCTTGGCTCTGCACTACCCCTGGAGCTCACAGAGGGCACCAGGCCGCAAGTGTGTGGGCAACGTTCGGGCGGCGAGGCCCGGGGAGAGGAGCTGTCCGTGAGCCGGGGTCGCCGTGACCGTGGGGACGCTCTGGGGGTGCGGCTCGGACTCCAGAGAACGGGTGTCAGGACCGAGAGTGGACAAGTGGGGGTGTCTTGACTGGTTCGTTCAGGGCAAGGGGTCTCCGCCCGGGCACCGACAGCGGGCTGGGGCGGCCTCACTCTCTGTGCTGGGACCCGTCCCTGGCCTCCACCCACCAGATGCCGGTAGCACGCCCTCCCCCTGAGCCGTGACGGCCCAAAATGCGTCCGGACGTCGCCAGGTCTCGCTTGGGGGCCCCACAGCCCTGACCTGTGGGCTCTAAGGGATTCCTAGGGGTGACAAGCTGTACATTCACGTTTGGACCTTGAGGGTGTGGGAGAGGGGTTTATCCGCACCCTTCCTCCCTCCCTTCCGTCCATCCGTGCACCCACGTCCGGGCACTGGCAGAGCGCGTGACTGACGGTCGAAGGTGCGCGTGCAGGGCACAGACTCCTCTGAGCGTGAAGAGCAGGGCCAGGGGTACACGGACGACACCCTAGGCAGAGGGTTCCCCAGAACTGGGGGGGTCCGCGGGGGTGAGAGTGCTCAGGACCTCACAGAGCTGGGTGCCTGACGTCCCCGTCCACTGTCACCTTCAGAGTACTTGAGCCAGGAGGAATACGATGCCTCCAGCCAGAGGGGGGACATCATCCAGGAGAAGGAGGCATCCGGTGGCCGCTACTGGGTGACCCTCAGGGCCATTGAGTCCCTCATGGAGAAGGTAATGGGCAAGGCTGGGAGCTGCTCTGGGGGTTTGGGGACCCATCTCCGGAGGATGGTGGTGGGACAGGGCAGGAAGGACTGACGCTGAGATTGGAGGGACGCTGGTGGCCAGCCTGCAGGCTAGGGACGCCCCGTGCTGGTGCTCAGCTAATCTCTGGCTCAGCGTGCGGAGGGCGTAGTGCGGAAAGACCGAGCCCCGTCTCCGCCATCTGGGATCTGTTAACTTCCCTGAGCCGGATTCCTCGGCACAGGAAATTTGAGTAATATTTGTTAAAACGAGGAATAAAATGGAGATAAGCCTCCATACTGATTTAAGGCTCACACGAATACACGAAAAGCAGCTCACCGTGAACCATGCGGTTTTATGTGGACGTGAGACGGGCAGGCCCAGCTGTGAGCCAGAGGCAGATGCCCCCCCTTCCCAACCCCCGCCCACAGAGGCTGACGGGGCCTCCCGACCGGGAGGGTTCCGGCCCCCCACAAAGTCTCCTGCGACCCCAACGACTCACAGTTCCTAGATTCTGCCGATGAAACACCAAACGGACAGACCTGAAATGGTACAGCAAGTGCCCTCGCACCCAACAGGGCGCCCCCGGCTTCTCTCCCCATCGCCCCTCCCCGGTGTGGGCTCCTCTCGCTGCCTCTGAGGCCAAGGACCTTGAGCCGTCTCCCCTGTCCCCTGCAGAACACCCACGCCCTCCTGGACGTCCGGCTGGACAGCGTCCGTGCCCTCCACAGGTCGGAGATCTTCCCCATCATCGTCCACATCTCCGTCAACGAGAAGGCGGCCAAGAAACTCAAGTAGGTGGGACCCCGAGGGCTGGCGGTGGGCTGAGCCTGGCGTCACGTGCCTCCGGGGCGCGGCCTGGGGTCTGGGACAAGCACCTGCAGCCTCCCCCCTGGGAGCAGCCCTGACGGTGAGGGAGGCCTGGCACCCGCCTTGACTAAGGCCGCGTGTTCGCTGGGGTACGAGAGGCTCACGGTCCAGCTGCGCTGGGTGAGGACAGGAGCTGAACACCGTTACTTGGGGTGTGGCTGGGGACAAACCCAGACGTCCTGTTGCCCCCTTACCACTTGTCAGCTGAGGTTGTAAACTGGACCCCGCGTCCCACACCCGTGCAGCGTCGTCCGGGGTCTGACTCCTGTCTTCCTTATGAGGCGCTCGGACCCCCAAAGCGGGGTAGGGCATTTGTGCCGCGTGGCCCGTGTGCTGGTCCCCTGGCATTCCGCGCCGGCGGTCGGCTTCCTGGGGCTCCGCGCTGGGCCGCCGCACGCAGCTCTCGCTGAGGGGTCCCCCCCTCCCTGTGTCCGGCCCGTGCAGGAAGGCCCTGCAGCGGCTCAACACCTCGGAGCGGCAGCTCCTGGAGGCGGGCAGGCAGGAGGAGGGCGAGCTGGACGAAGTGCCCTGTCTGTACAGCAGCCTGGCCCCCGATGGCTGGAGTGACCTGGAAACCCTGCTCGGCTGTGTCCGCTTGGCCATCGCGGACGAGCAGAAGAAGGTTGTGTGGACAGAGAAGAGCCCCCGCTGACGCCCCCGGAGTCCCCTCCAGAAACTGTGGGGACCTCTGAGTCCCCACAGGAGTCCCTGACAACGTGGCCCTGTGCGTTGAGCTCAGGGCCTCTCAGGCACAGCCCTGGGGGTGCTCACCAAACAAGCCCAGCTCTCCGGGCATTGGCTCCCCTCTCTCACCAGGGTCTGACCTTGAACTACATGCAGGGGACAATGGGCATTCGGACCATCTCCTCCTCCTCCAAGGCTCCGCGTGGTCTGGAACCAGATGCCCCGAGAACATTTCCGCAGTGGGGGCGTCTCCCGAGCCTTCCCAGAGCCGGAGGCCCCAGATGTCCAGAAAACCACCTGTCGGACCCGAATCACTGTACTTCCCTTTGCAATTCAATGTGCCAAAGGGCTTGTTCCAAAGCCACGGTGGCCGCAAGCTGGTAGCCCTGATGACCCCCATGGTCACTCCCATCCCTGCCCAGAGCAGAGACACAACCCCTCTTGTAATGTCATCCTGGCTTTCTCAGCTCCTGATGGCAGACAGGTGCCTCAGTAACTCCAATTTAGAGAGATGTGTGTATGTGCTGGGAAGCCTAGTTTCCCAGTGATGGAAACAGTATTTTCAGCGGTGCCTGGCGGTTTTGGGGGACCCGTGGGGGTCCTCGAGAAGCCTTCCACAGACACATTGCACAAATGCCATCTGGGCTCCCCCTGAGCCTGGGAACTGCCCCCCTCTAACTGGGTACCTCCCCCCCACCAGCTCCTTCTCCAGAGTAAAGCACCTTTACTCCACCTCCAGAGCTCAGGAGACATTTGGGCGTGGCTTGGGCAGGGACCCCCGGGTCCCCTGACCACCCGGCCTTGCCGCCCGCGGTCACAGACTGAATGGAGTTTTGGCAGCAGCGGCCCTGAGTCTGAGTGCCTCGGGCGGCTGCTCTAGAACTCAGACCGCCATTCTCGCAAACGAGGTCAGAAAATGAACTTGTATGTATTTTACTGAAATAAAGCTTCTCCGGTGCCCTGGACCATGGCTCTGTCCTTACGCCGCCAGGATGAGGTCGGCAGGGGAGGGGAGGAAGGCAGGAGCCCACCACTCAAGGGAAAAAGCCCCCGCTTTCTGGGTCTTTCCAGGTTGAGCAGGTGGAAGCTGGGCAGGTCCGGGGCAGCGACGAGCAGCAGCACGGGTGTCCAGCCGGACAGAACTAACCCAAGCCACAGGAGGGGTCTTCGTGCTTGGACGTTCAGAAAGGATGAGCTCTGCCCACACAGACTACAGAACGAAACTCGGCACCCGGGAAGCCTGCCACGGATCAGCAGCCTGGCGGAAACCCCGCCAGGGTCGGGAACTTGACCGTGGGGCAAAGCGAAGGACGCGAAACACGCTCAAGGGTTGTTCGAAGAGTTTTCAAGGCCAGGGATTGACACGAGCCAGGCACTGGGTTCCCACGTACGGTGCGGTTTGGGGCCACCGCCACCCGTGGGACACGGAGGCCCAGCTCCTCCCGGGTGAAGGGTGCGGGGACGTCTGTGGGCTCCGAAGAATGAAGGTCTCGAGCCCCAGGTCCCGGCGCCTTCTCTTGACAGGTCCCCAGCCGAACCCAGGAAACAAGCCCCCCTTCCTGCAAGTCCTGTGCTGAGACATGACTCGGACACCAGGACGACCGCGTCCCCACTCCCACGGGCGGAGGAAGGAGCCGGGCACAGGCCCCACCACTCCCCCCTCCACGCAGTGGCAGCAACGACCCCAGCATCAGGGAGAGCCCTGCTCAGACGGGAGGGTCGCTGCCCCTCCCTCCGCCTCAGCTGGAAAGGTGGGGACCGGGCGTGGGGAGGCCTCCCACGTCCCCCGGGCGACCCTCACAGCTCATTGTGGAGCGGCCGGCACTGGGGAGAGAGCCTCTCCTCCAGGACACCATCGGGAGCACACACCCAGGGGTCGTGGGTCTCCCACTGCCACTTGGCCAGCTGGGTCTGGAGCAGGTCCAGAACCTGGGCATAGCGTGGATCAGCGGCCAGGTTCCGGGTCTCGTGGGGGTCCTGGCTGCGGTCGTAGAGCTCCCAACGGTCCCGGTAGTAGTAGTGACGGAGGTCCTTGTACCAGCCCGTGGGCTGGCCGGCCGCGGTGCGATTCAGGAGGTCCTGAAAGGTGGGCGACACGTAGAAGTCCTGGTCGATGGGAAAGGGCATCCTGAAGTTCAGGTTGTGCACCAGGCGGAAGTCCCGGTGGTGCACGGAGCGCATGGGGTAGGCCATGGTGACCTCGTGGTGGCTCTGGCTGCCAAAGACGGTGCTCCAGAGGGGCTCTGCCTCCAGCGCCGGCAGGAGGGACCGGCCGGTGAGCCGGACGGTCTTCGAGCCAAAGATGGCGTAGCTCGGGTAAGGGACGGAGAACCAATCCAAGATGGTGGGCGTGAGGTCTGCAAAGGAGGCGGGGTGTCGGCATGAGAGCCCCCACCACAGAAGGGCTCGATCCAAGCCTTTCTGGAACGCTGCTGGGCCCCCCTGCACACCAGATCACCACCAGGGAGCCGTGCTGGGTCCAACCTGCCACTGTGGCCCCAAACCTCTAGGACATGACGCCTTCGATGGCTTAATGAGAGGCTCCAACTTGGCAATACTGGGGCTCCTGGTAAAATCTCTCAGGTCCGTAAGGAAGCCCCCTCGGAGGGCCTCATCTGTTCTTGTCCTGTGCCGTGGCCACAGTGCTACTGAACTTGTGCTTTGGGGCCAAAGGGTGATGGGGGCCCCAAGCTGCCCTGGCCCCTCAAAGTCAGCTTCCCCGGCATCAGCAATGCAGATTCTCAGACACTCTGGGGATGTCCACGTGCACACCACATGGACGTTCCCTAGCACTCCAGGGGGCTCTGACACTCACCCGGGGAAAAAGCAACAGTCTCGGGGGCAGCGACACCGAAGCTAGAATCCTATCTTGATGCTTACAAGCTGTGTGCCCTTGGGCAACTCACCTTACCTCTCTGATCCCCATCTGCACTTATAGAACGGGGTGGCCCTCCCTTCTCTGCCCAGGTGGTGTGGGAACCACGTAAGATAGCGGGTGTAGAGCGGTGTCTGGACACGGTGATACCACTAAATTTGCCCCCTCTCTC